TTCTAAAATTAAAAGAAAAGCCTGAAATATTTCTACCCTTTTTATGCTGTTCACACTTAACTTTTATATCAGTATGTAAGTTAATTTGAGAAATAGCTAAGTTAAGAACACGATCCTTAAAATTCCCCATACGAACATATTCATCATCAAGCACACCAATTTTTTTTCTAAAATCGGCCAGTTCAATAATTGGTGTCTGTCCAGAGCTACGCCATGCAATTAATAACTCATATAACCTGACAGCATATGCACTTGTTAATTTACTAATTTGTTGTAATTCATACTTAGTAAATTGCTCTTCTAACCTTGTAATTAAAGGAACAATAGAAGGAGAAAATATCAGTTTTACAGTTGCTTCATCATCAATATATCTAATCTCACTAACCCAACGACTTAAAACATGCTCAACTTTTCCTCTTTTATTTATTTCTTGATAGCTGAACTGTCTTGCAAATAAATCTTTACAAGCATCTTTAAGTGCTTGATAAGCAGTCTGCCTTGCTACATTAAATTGATTAATATAACTCTCAGCATGTACTTCTAGAGGGTCATTAGCAGTAATTCCTTTACCACTTTCTCTGGCTTCAACAATAGCTAATAAAATTAGACGTTGTTCAACTAAATCTAAATTATAGCTTGCATTAATTAGAGCATTGTCTTTAACAATGATATCTTGCATATTATTAATCTACATTATTTTTTATGAATATTAATCTATATAAAATATATTGTAGACTAATGCAAGGTAAACGTAGTCATATTGGTAGGTAAACGTAGTCATATTGGTAGGTAAACGTAGTCATATTGGTAGGTAAACGTAGTCATATTGGTAGGTAAACGTAGTCATATTGGTAGGTAAACGTAGTCATATTGGTAGGTAAACGTAGTCATATTGGTAGGTAAACGTAGTCATATTGGTAGGTAAACGTAGTCATATTGGTAGGTAAACGTAGTCATATTGGTAGGTAAACGTAGTCATATTGGTAGGTAAACGTAGTCATATTGGTAGGTAAACGTAGTCATATTGGTAGGTAAACGTAGTCATATTGGTAGGTAAACGTAGTCATATTGGTAGGTAAACGTAGTCATATTGGTAGGTAAACGTAGTCATATCTATTTTTCATTGCTTAGAACGCAAATGAGCGCGTTTTAACAGATATTAATTCATTGATTTAGTTTTATCTGTTGTTAACAGCTTTGATGAGTTCATTTCTGGATAGACAGACTAGTCTAATTTCCATAAAAAAAATGCCCAACCAAAAGACTGGTTGAGCATACAAAAACTAAAATATCGCTAGAGGGTGAGCCAAATCACTTGA